AACATATGGGGAAATTAGTGGGTATCCATCCCCAACCCATCCCCTGTGGATATTTAAAGAATATCACCTATCCTACCCAATGGATAAGAAAAAAGGGGAAAACCCATGTATTTGGATTGGGTCTCCATGGATACCCACAGGGTAGGTTATCCATTGCCATCCCTACCCCTTGGTTCTTCCAACACTGTTCTATGTACTCCTGTCCCAGTCCCAGTCCCAGGGGCCCCTGTGCTGAGACTTTGGTTCACAAATGGAAAACAAGAAAAATTTGACTAATTAAATCAAACTAAATCAAACCAAGCCTTGTGTCTCAATCAAGTAGAGTAAGCTACATGAATACCTTTTTTTTTTTCTATTCAGCTCTATCAAGGGCAATATGCTCAATTAAATTAAACAAGCAAAATTTTACTAATTAAATATTTTATACCTACTAAAAACCATATAAAAGCAACATAATATGATCCACGAGCAACTCTTCCAACCATTGTAGATTCACACCCAAACTTTTAGCAGAGTTTCACGTTCATTCTTGAACATAGAAATACTTTTATTCCACCATAAATTCATAATACAATAAGAACTCTTCATCTAAATACTTAGAAAATTGTAGAGAAACTAAAAACTCCCTAAAAATTGCCCCATACAATATAGAAACCATAAAAGACTCAAAATCTAGCTAAACAGGTAGTTTCAAAGCAAGTAAGAGGCTGGATTATAGTTCAAGAATGAACTCCTGATCATCTCATAAAAGAACTCCATCAATAGGAAATTGTTTGAAAATAGAAAACATAGAAATTCCTAAACAGTAAGAATTTCCATAAAATATGACTCTCTACACTCATATAATTTATTAATTCAACAACAGAAATAAGAGACCCACAACAAAGCGGGCATGAAACAGCCTAACGTGTAATATCCTTAAAATTTCCCTGTACTAAACACTAATTCATTGTGAACATGTTCTTTCTCCTTCTTATTGCTTCTGCATCTTTGTCCAACATATTGCAAAATTACCAAATACCACTAACCAACAAAACCTAATAAAAAGTCATTAAATCTGTTCAATAGCATTATTACCTACAAAATATATTTTTAAAAAAGGACTCAAATGATGCTAAACATGATTGTGTAATGTCCAAGGTGTGCTTTACATCAGAGTCTTGATTTGTCCCTTATCTTGTTTACTTGATTTGCATCCTTATGTCTTTTTACCTAGTAAATATAATACCAATATACCCAAAAGATAATTTTCCCTTAAAGTTGTGTAAAAGTAGGTAATTATGCTGTTCTGTATTGGCTTGGGTTTTCAAAAGGTTACTAGTTATATGTAAAAATTCAATTTGGATGAATTAGATACATTTACTTCTTAACGTTTCAAAACTGCCCCAGAGTGCTGAAGTAACCTTAAAATGTATTAATGGCTGAACAATTCCCATGGAGTTTTCCTTTGTACCAAAATGCTTCTTGATTATGTTACACAGACTCTTCAAAATAAATAAAATACTCATGTCGGACACCCAACACTCGGACAAGGGTATGGGATATGTGTCGGCTACTTTTCAACGAACACTTCTTATATAATTTGTATATAAAACTATTATTATATGTATATATTGTTGTATAATTGCTATAAATATCTTTTTGACACTATAAGTTACATATAACCCTATTTTATCTCACATACTTTATTAAAAATATAAAAATATGAATTTTTTTTTTGCCGAGTCCACGTATCCTTAAATTTATTGTTTGATGGGTCTGACCTCTAGATACATACCCGCATCCGACACCCGTACCCGAGTCCATGTAACATAGGGTTAGTTTTTGGTTCTCTCAAATACAAGCTTCTCTCTATGGAGGAAGTACTGGTGTGCATTTTTTTCTTTTTCTATTTTTATTTTTTCTGAAGGACTGATTTCACATGTTAATAATTTGCCCCATTAAATTTACATTGCTAGTAGACTTAGGGGTGCAACTTAGGCAGGTTCAACCCGAGCCTAGTTCGAATTTTTTTAAGGCTTGTGCAAAATATTTTTGAATTAATGTGGGCTTTAGCAAAAATTTAGAAGTCTGAATTAAATTTGGGCGGGCTTAGGTAAAGACACCAAACAACCTGAAACCTAAATTATAAATATATAAAAATATTAAATATACATACAAATTATTTGTTTTTGGATGATGTTAAAGTAATTTAAGTTGTTAGATCATATTGAATATAATTATATACACAAGTAACATAACACAAAACCTTACATTTTTCTTTTCTCGTTTAGAAACTATAAAGACCGCCATAGCGGCATATTGTTCTTCAATTCTTATCTCTCGCACATTGTTATTTGGTTTAATGTTATTAATAATTTTATTAAGAAAATGTTAATAGAGTCTAATTTTAGCAAATTAATTAACTTTGCTAAAAAAAAAACACTCAAATTTATGACAATTTGGGCAACTTAGGCCTAACTTGGGTCGGGCTTGGACATACAATCTCAAGTAACAATTCTGGCTAAGGCAGTCTTAGGCAGCTCTTAGCACAACTCAGGCTAAGCTTGGACAAACTCTCAACCCGCCCAAGCCTGCCCAAGTTGCATCCCTAAGTAGACTAGGGGCTCGAAGTTAGAAGTACTTTTTGACTTTGATAACTAAAAATTAATCTTCCTTGATAGAGGAGTGCTTGATTTTCCTTTGATGTTGACAAAACGAAATTTATTTATTCTATTATTGTGGTTTTCAGAGTGTTGTTGCTTGGCAATAGCATATTATACTTTATGCAGTATTTTCCCTTGTTCTTTGAGGCTTTGTATTAAGATAGTTTCCATCGTCAGTTTATTGCAGTGGGTTATGCTATCATGACAACAAGGTCGTTAGAATTAAACTGGAAAATGAGGGCATTACGAGTTCTGCCAATGTTTCTGTTGCCAGTTTTATCTTCTATTACTTACTCAGCAGTAGTCACCTTCACAAGAATTTGTGAGTATCTGAAAACTCTTCCAGAATTTTGTTTCAACCTTAAGGTGTATCTTACAGGTTCATTGTAGTTTTTCTTTTTATTAATTTGTTTAAATTTTTCTCTCTCTCTCTCTCTCTCTTGTTTTTTCCCTTAAAATAACGTGGCTAATGATTTATTTGATGTGGGTCCTGTCTTTATGTTTTGGGTTTTGTATTGTTGCTGAGTTTGCAGTAAATATAGAATGCTGAATCCCCATAATTTCAAATTGTATTCTTTGAATCCTTTTGTTTTTCAATGATCATCAGAAGCCATGCTTAAATTGTTTAGTTTGTTTTGAAGCAATTCAGGATTGCAACTTCAGTACCCAGCTATGTTACATGAACTAGGGTACTGGTATATGTCTAAGTGTCTGATTCATCAGGACATGATAAAATATTCATATTTTAATATACTTATTTTATTTTCTAGGTATATTGGTTTTCACGTGTCGTAGAGGATTTCATGTGTTATATGCACGGACACCGACATGCGACACGACACGGACACAACACGGACACGCGAAAACACAAATTTTCAAAAAATAGGGGACACGACACGCTAGGGACACGTTCAATATATATATTTTTATTTATTTATTATATGTAAAATTAAAAAATATAAATATTATTTATTTATTTTAATATCAAATATTATTCACAAATTAAATTTTTTTTATAAATAAAAATAATTTATTTAAACAAATAATAATATCTAAAAAATAGAAAAAAGGAAAAGAAAAAAAAAAGAAAAAAAAGATGTTTATTCAAATATATATCTAGTATATAATATATATACTATTATTATTAGTATATAAATATATATATATATGTATATATATTATTAGTATATAATGTATACAACGATCGATGGTCAAACGAGGGCATCGAAACACCATAGCGAGAGAGAGAGAGAGAGAGCAGAGAGGGAGACGACACAGACGAGGAAGACGACGCAGACGAAACGAAGAAAGAAGAAGAAAAATGAAGAAAAACAGAAGAAAAGAAGAAGATCGAAGGAGAGATTTGAAGAATCGAAGAACATACCTGATCTAGGGCTCCGTTTCAACAGGTTCTTCATCACCCTCTCTCTCTCTCTGTTTACAACAGGTTAGGGTTTCTCTCCCTCTCTGTCCATAACGTGTCCATAGCGTGTCCAACAGTGTCCAAACGAGTGTCCGGCTGCAAAAATTCAAAACAAAAAAAGGGACACGTTGGGTAGAGTGTCGGACACGTGTCCACCGCGTGTCCGACGCGTGTCCGTATCCAACACGTGTCTAACACCCAAGCGTCGCCTTAGGGGACGTGTCCGTGCTACATATATGGTTAACTCGAATTACAAAATATGCTTGCTAGGCGAAATTTCATTTGTATATGTCAGACACATTCTATACACTTACCCAAGTGTTGAGTGCTGGATACGGGTACTCCATACAATTAAAAAAGAGTCCATCCAACACAGGTACTTGTTATTGGATATATATATTATTATCAACAATGAGACATTTTATTAATAAAAGGAAATGTGAAAAAGAGTACAAGAGGGAGGATAAGAAGTCCACCAAAGAAAAAGGAAAGAAGAAAACAAAATTTCATCTCACAAACAGCTCTCCAATTCACACATCCAAAGAACTCCTGCTTTCCTATTACTGTCAAAGCCCCTATAATCAATGTGAAGTATTTGAATACATCAGAGTGAAGCCACACATTCCATCTCCTTCATGTAAGCAACAAGGCATGAAAGAATAAGCGGTCCATGTTTTCCTCATCCCTTCTACACAAGACACACCATTGAGGAAGTAGTAAGATATAATTAGGTCTCCTTTAAATCATGTCATTGGTGTTAAGCTTCTTATGAGCTAGAGACCATGCAAATATTTCAACTTAAGATGCACACATGCTGCCCAAATCAACTTGTGACAGGTACATTTAGATTGTCAATAATATTTCAAAAAAGACTTGCAATAGAATAATCCTGAAGAATGAATAATCCACACCCTTTCGTCAATAGCCTTGCACTGAAAGACACTCTCTCAAGGTAGGCAACAAAGAAACCAATTCATCATCTTCCCAATCGTTTATATTCATAGCAAAAATCAAATTTCCAAGTAATTGGCGTCAAGAAGAAGCCACAGAAACAATGAACATTGTGAGACAAAGATACAACCGCTGGAACAAAAGATCAAATGAATCTCCTCCTATCAAACATCCTCTCAAAAGCGAATACTCTCTCCATTTGCAGGTGAAAAATGAATGAAACGAAAAAATTAAGATCCTGAGAAATACATTCCAAGGAGAACGAGAATTCCCCCAAGTAATCACATGAGAGTCCCACCCATTGGCCTGAATCGTACACTACTATCCATTGGCTTGAATCCCTTACTACTCTTGATAACGAATGCCATAAAGAGTTATGTTTCATTGGAAATCTCTATAATCACTTCTCAAGCAAAGTCATATTCTTAGTTACAGTGTTACTGAAAATGAGACCGCTTTCATTTTTGGAAGGGAACCACATCCCAACAAACCAAATGATCTTTCTTTCCCTCATCACTACCTCCCCAAAAAAAATTCTCATTATTTTTTCAATCTTATTAGCTATCATTGGAACTTTGAACTAGTATAAATAATAAATAAGTACACTAGACAAAATAGATTAAACCTAGTATATCTTTGACCTCATGAAGTCAAAGCCTTTGCAACCCCTCTATCTTTTCCCAATCTTGTCAATTAATGGATTCCAAAAGGTTTCGCATCTAGGATTAACCCCTTCAAGTAACTCTAAATACTTTCTATACTTATTTTTATCAGCAACTCAAAATACTTTAGACAAAGACTCAATGGAACATCCCGACAAACCAGCCAATCTAAGCAACCTGTGATGTGACATGGAAAATTAATTCCCACCATGGTACTCTTTCTCATGTTTACCTCAAGCCCAAAGACCAATTAAAAAATTTTCAAAATAGATAATAGATTACCCATTTATTCTTCTCTCCATAAGAGGAAGAAAAAATGGTATCAGATGCAAACTGTAAATGAGACACAAAAATGCTATACCTCCCTACAAAGAAGCCATCCGCTAGGCCCAAATCCTTGATCCAATCAATAGACCTACCCAAAACATCAACCACTAAGGTAAATGAAAAAATGGATAAAGGAGCACCCTGCCTAAGACATCTAGATGCTTTAAAATTGTCACCTACCTTACCATTGACTATAATTGACAAATTACATGATGATGAACAATCTTTAATCCGTCTTTTCCATCTAACCCCAAATCCCTTCTTTTGCCAAAAAAAAAAAAAAAACTCACTCCACACGATCATATGCTTTTTCAAAATCCGACAACATTTCAACAAAGGCTCCTTGAGAAGAAGATATAGTCCCCCCTAAAACAACTCTCAACCGCCTTGCTAAAACACTAGCAGGAATTTTATACTGAGGTAACTACGTTGATAGGCCTAAAATTCATAATCTTCAAGAGTTGCAATTTAATTTACAATAGAAAGAAGAAATAAAGAGAAGAGGAAGAAAGCAAATAGAACACAGTGTATGGCTAATGCGAGAAACCCATAAAAAATTAGGATTCTCTCCGTAGATGTTTATATTTTTATTAGTAAGATCTAAAGTACATAAATGCCTCTTGAACTAAACTAAACCCTACCCTATAACAGTTGGCCTTATTGAGAATCAAACATATAAATGATGCATTTGTACAATCATTAACAACTGCATTCTTTTTTCTACTCTGCAAAAACTTCTATCAAATCATGTTTAACAATTTCCCAACTAGAAACTAAGGTTACTTGCAAACTTAAAAGCATTGCCAATGCACACTCACCAACATCTACTCTCACCAAGATCCCCTAAAAAAATATTTATAACTTAGTTGCACAAAGTGGGAGCGAGCAACATACAAGAGTAAGTGTGGGAGTGCCTTAGGGAACATTAATGAATTTTGTATATAAAATATTTTTGTTGCTTAGTTATAATGTGTATGATAAAGTCTACATTTTACATTACCGCTTAAACTATTAAGCATGAATATAGTAAACTCTCATTACAAAAATAGCAATTTATCACCAATAACATATTACTCAACCAATGTTGTGAATCTCATACTGTACTGCCAGACACGATTTTAGATATACTGTTATGACAGAAAAATTGTATACACCACCTCCAATTTCATTCTGATGTATATACGGACTATGTTAGTATATCTCAGCTATCTCAGTTGATTTTGGGCATACTAGGCGTGTTGTTCGTTCCATCTAGCACAACAAAATAAAAAGCCATAAAAGAAAAAAAAATAAAATAAAAAAGAGGGAGAGAGAGAGAGAGAGAAGATGGATGATTGAGAAAAATGGCAGCATATGAACCAATGAGCAAATCAGCATCAGTGTTGATGAACATTGGCACGCAATATATAAATCAGGTGCAAAGAAGGTTTGTTAGCTATTAGGCCGTCTTTACTATAGGAGCAAAGGTCTCCTGATAATCAATGCATAAGTCTATGCAAATCCCTTGGCAACAAGCCATCCTTGTATCTCTCAACTATTCCATACGCTTTTTGCTTCACAGGAAACACCCATTTACAGCCCATAGGCTTTTTTCCCTCTAAAAGAGACACTAACTTCCATGTGCCATTCTTCTTTAGAGTTGTCATCTTTTCTACCATAGCTTCCTTCCACTTAGGATCTGTGAGTGCTTCTTTCTAACCTTGTGGAATAGACATAGAATACAAGGAGGAAACAAAGGCACGATCTGAAAGAGACAACAAGTCGTGAAGTAAATCAGGATGATGTCAAGTAACAGATATTATCCCATGAAGAGCCCTCCTCGTCAAACAAATACTCAAAGATCATACTATTAAGCTCCCACCAAGTTACCCAAAAAAATTGCGTAAAAAATACAATCCACAAGAATAATGCTTTATCATTGCTCCCAAAACCCTTGGACTCAATCAAAAGCATTTGAGTGAGAGGATCATAGCATTTATACCCTTTCTGAGTAGCGGAATACCCATTGAATCACATCTCACAATGCTTGAATCTAGTTTGCCACGTGGGTGTTTAAAGACATGTACAAAACACATAACCAAAAATCTTAAGTGAAAGGGAAGAAACAGAGGGATTACCAAGGAGAAGCACAAAGGGAGTCTTAAACTGAAGAACACTAGACGGTATACGATTAATAAAGATAGGCAACACTAAGAACTGCTTCACTCCAAGAAGATTTAAGAAAATTCATGGTAAACAAAAAGGAGCGACCTACTTCGAGAAAATAACGATTCTTACGTTCAGCAATTCCATTTTGTTCAGAAGTACCAACACAACTCGTTTGAAAGGGATTGCCATGTTCATCCATGCAGGCTCAAAAAGCTCCACAATATACTCTGTTCCATTGTCACTATGAAGAATTTTCATCTTTGTATCAAATTGAGTGCTTACCAATTTGTGGAAAGCTCTAAAACAAGAAAAGACTCTTTTTGTTATGAAATAAATAGAACCATGTAACACGGGAATGACAATCAATAAATATGACAAACCATCAATAACCATCAATAGAAGTAATAGGCAAAGGGCCCCACACATCAGAATATATAATCATAAAAAGAGAAGTACTTCTATTAACTGAAGAATAAACAGAGCATCTATTTTTTGCAAATTCATATGCATCACATACAACTCCTATGAAAAAAAGTTTAACTAAGGGCTAGTTTGGGTAAACCTAAAATAGACAAAAAGTCAAAAAGTTATCACTATTCACAAATTAAAAATATAAAAAAATAAATTTACACAAAAAAATACAAGCCAACTCACTTCTGAAGTGATGGTACAATCTGACTTGGTTGTACAAATTACACAAGCGGGTGCACAAACAGGACGGTGTTGTTCGGCCCGTGGAGGCCAATCACGGGTCCCATTTTAATAATTTGAACCGTTCAATGTGTAGAGCTCGTCGACTAATATATGCCTATAAAAAATCACGTTGATCGGATATCGATGGTTATATGATCAAATCAGTTTTGTATAAAAAAAGACGGTGAACAAATTAACGGTGAACAAAAAACTAATCCGATGAGATAGCTATTAATATCCGATCAACGTGATTTTTTACAAGCATATAGTATTCAACGAGTTTTACACATTAAACGGTTCTGATTATTAAAACGGGACCCGTGGTGGGCCCTTACGGACCGAACAGCACCGTGCAATCCAATCTCGGACTGGAGGCAAGCTTCTCCTATACATGTTCTGAAGTATGCTGCCCACCGTACTGGCTATAAGTCTCAATCACTGTCAATACGCCTTGTTCTATATTAGGGGTAATATGGTAATTTTTCTATTTTATACAATATTTTAAAACACATTTTTTTGTAAAAAGTCAAAAAGTTATCCCAAACATACATCTTTTTTTCTTCTACTTTTTTTACCAAAAAGTCAAAAAGTGCACTTATTTAGAACATCCCAAACAATCCCTTAGAGCTTCTCCAAAACATCAAAAGAAGGATGGCCCAAATATTGATGGCACTGATGTGATTGATGCAAAGTTGAACTAGTATATGTGAAAAGAGTCTACCTAGAGGACAAAGGTGGAAGTGTGGATGGAGATGTAGCATCTAAAAAGTATAGGCCACCATGTGCGTCACCACTGCTAATTATCCTCCCCGTACCTAGCTTTTGAAAGATGTGATGTGTTGAAAAGAATGTGAGAACAATCTTCTGTGTAAATAAAATAACTAGAAATAAATTCAAACAAAATAAATAAATAACATACCGGATTTATTTTGTCGAACAAAATAAAAATTACAAGACCAAGTCGAGTGTGTGACACTCTGTCCTTAAGATAGATTCGCCCTGCTACGGTGCTTACGGTTGAGTGGCGTCTATCTCCCAGGATACAATGATCTTCACAAAATTATTGTAGCACACCAAACAAATTTGTATGGCGAACCAAACCTTGTGTTCTTATACTCTCTTAATTTTAATTCTAAAACTAGAATGTAGAGAAATGCAAACAAAAATAATTTGGACAGCAAATAGAAAGTTGGAGAGAGTTTTTTTTTTTTTCTAATCTCATCAGAAATGCAAACAAAAATAATTTGAACAGCAAATAGATAGTTGGAGAGTGAATTTTTTCTGATCTCTTTCGGACTGCTGGAAAAGGATCAATATAAATAGGCAACTTCATGCCTGTTAGAACAGCCCAAACAGGCATGAACAATGGTCAACAGGTGCCACCTGATTTGAATTCAACAGTTTCGAATTTATTTAAACAATTCAAAAAAAAATAAAAAATTCGTTGGAGACAAAGTGAAAGCAACTATTAAACTATTTGAATAGTTTAAACACTTTCTTTTTCAAATTGTTTACTGATGGTGGACCAAGTCAAACCTGTTGGAGCATGAATTTATTTAAACTATCTCAAATATATATATAATATACTAAATGAATATATATATATATATATAAATATATTAAACTATTGAAATAGTTAAATAAATAAATAAAGAGGTCCAAACTTTAGGAAACTTCTTAGAAACCTAAAATTTAAATTTAGAATTAAATTAAATTCCCACAATTACAAATTTTAGGAAACCACTTAGGAACCCAAAATTTGAATTTAGAATTAAATTAAATTCCCACAATAATTTTTTATTGAAAAAATTCAAAAGAATTTTTATCTAAAAAATTAATGTTAAATCTGAAAACGACGTCAACTTCCCATTCACTTATAAATGGTTTTGACGTTCCGTCTTCACCGTGTGACTTGCCACGCGGCAAGGAACGCATCACCTCTTCGGACCCACTTGTGACTTGCCACGCGGCAAGGAACACATCATCTCTTCGGACCCACCCCAAAAGACGTTTGGGGCCCACTCAAATTTGAACTAAAAAATATGCCTATATTAAACCACTTTTCCAACAAAGAATATCACTGAGAAGTTCAAAGAACGAGTAAGACTACTAAGAAAAACTAAAGTAGTAGATTATTTAGGAACATGTAAAACAGAAAAGAGGGACAACAACATTGGGATGAAGAAGAAATACTCCATAATACAGGGAATAACAGTCCTGAGATTACTTCGGAAAGAGTAGAACAATGAATGAAACCTTCTCTAGACACTGAAGATAAGGAGCCATCAACTACCCTTACTTTATACTTACCAAAACAAGGAGAGTAAGAATAGAAGAGATTAGACAAACCTGTCATATGGACAGTAGCTCCAGAATCTATAATCCAAGGACAAAGAATACCTATATGAACAAAGTGGGAAGAAGGGGTAGGATCAAAAGCTATGGTAGAAGAATCAAGCCTAACCGTCATGCACCTGATAGTCATCACTAGAACAAGAAGTGCTCAAAGAAGCCTCAGACATGCACATGGGAACGCACAATGCCACTATGCCCTCGGGTAAGATGACCGTTCAATCTCCAGCAGTACTCTCTAGTGTGACGATCCTTCCCACAATAATCACATTTCAGCCTCTCATGATCTCTATTGTTACTCTTTCCACTTGACTTGGGCTGATTTGGCTTTCCATTCTGTGTGGTAGGAGAAACTGCCGAAGCAGAGTGATATTGAGTAGAAGCATGAACCATAGCACTGCATCTGCTCTCCTCTTGCATAGCAATGGCATAAGCCTGTCTCACTGTAGGAAAAGGATGTTGACCTTGAATCTGAACCTAGATCTGATCATACTCCTTATTAAGTTCAACAAGGAAGTCATAAACTCGTTCTTTCTCTACCATCTTTTGAAAAATCAGTGCATCTTGAGAGCAAACAACTTGAGAACTCTCACTGTAATCCAATTCCTGCCACAAGCTACTAAACTTGGCTCTCCATCTTATGCAACCATCTTGCTATCTGCCAAATCTTAAATAATCGAGTGTTTTACCCTCATCATACTTACTATTTCAGGAGCTAGGTTAAACGGGTCCTGCCCTGTTATTCTTAAATTGCTTGTCATTGTGTGTACTTGTTATTTCTAATAGTTTATGGGAACAATTTCCATGCCAAAAATGATATTGATTCAAGATTTTTTTTTCCTTTGCTTCTTGATATGCAAAAGATACTTGCCTGTGCATCTGCATGTTGATGCTTTTGGTCTAGGGCTTGATATGTGTCACATTTCTGATGTTTTAGTGGAATACCATACAAGGGTATCGTGATTAGATATTGACGTTCTCATTTATTCATGTATTCTTTTGTGATCATATAGGCGACCGTAAAGACCAGAAAACCTTGGAAAGGCTTCGGGCTGAAAGGCAAGAAAAAATTAATGATCTTAAAGAGAAGACAAATTACTACACTACACAACAGTTGATTCAGGTGATATAACTAAGGAGCAAGTAGTGTTCTATTCTTTCATTGTTGTTTCCTGCAACTATTTGATAAATCCTTCCTGTGGAGATTTATTGTAATATTTATATTTTGCAATTAGTTTTCAAGTGCATAAGATTTATCATCTTTTTTGGCTCTTTTTGCTCTATCTACATTAATAGATGAGATTGGATATTTTGTGAAGAATTTTAATGAAGAAATGCATTGTAGGTTGATGATTTTTATTTTTTGTTTTTTAGATATCTACCAAATAAATCTTGAGTGTTAGAAGGAATGAGAATTTATATATTCAAGGTGAAATAGCTCATAAAAATGAAATGTTGGAGAAATTCATTTAGGAAAATGAATTGGGATGGACTTGAGAGTATTTGAGTTATTATCATTTTGTTTTGGGAAAATATCATATAAGTCGTACTTTTCTCATGAATTTTTGATTTAGTCCCCTATTAACACCAGGTTGAGAGGTCTGTTCCGTGTGTTAATAGAACTAAATGGAAATTTCATGAGAAAATTAGGACTTATTAGAAATTTCCCCTTGTGTAATTAGTTTTAGTGGGTGGGGCCTACTTTTCTTTACTATTAATGGTATGTCTCTATATTCATGCTTGTACAGTTGATCTTTGAGGGGTTATCTTTTAGCATTGCATCGTGTTGTCTACTGTACAAATGTTCTGCAAATGTAAAACTTGCTATACCTAAAACTGAATTGTGTGCTTATTGCAAAATTTTGAATGCAGAGGTATGACACTGACCCAGCAGCGAAGGCAGCTGCTGCAACTGTCCTTGCATCCAAGTTAGGTTCAGATTCTGGCTTGAAAGTGTATGTGGGAGATGAGTCTAAGCTCAATGCCCATGCCCCCATAGGAAAGAGCAATGATGTCGAATTTGTTCACTCTAGTGGGCTCCGAAATCGAAAACAGTCACTTACAAGATCCAGTAGCACAGGGGGTACTGTATTACAACAACATTGGGATGAAGAAGAAATACTCCATAATACAGGGAATAACAGTCCTGAGATTACTTCTAATCTTAATCAGATGGTTGTTGAACATCATCCAGGATCGACCACCGCACTTGATGGAGGATGGTTTGCTCGGATTGCAGCATTGCTCGTGGGTGAGGATCCAACACAGTGTTATGCACTTATATGTGGGAACTGTCATAAACACAATGGTAAGTGGACTGTTTGTTTAGGCTGGAAAATGTTTTTTTGTATTTTCTGGCATTTGGTACAACTGAAATCAAAAGCCAACGAAAAATGTCTACTTGGGCAGAAATTGTTTCCCCTTCTAAAGGTGGAAAACGTTTTTCAAATTGAAGTCTTAATAATGTCACCACACTATTGCCACCACTATCACCACCACTACCACGACCTTCATCACCATCGCCCCACCACCACCACGTTCGCCACACTACCCCATCACTCCCATTTCACTGCTGCCACCACCGCCACTAATGCATCCATTAGTACATTAATTTCAGTGATGCAACCTAACATAGGATAACCTTTTTTTCTCAAATCCAAACCCAAACCAAACCAAGCCTTAAGTCCCATCAAATGGGGTCGGCTACATGAATCCTTCTTCTCCACGCGGCCCTATCAAAGGCACTGCCAACCATATACAGTTTAGTTGCAGAATGTGGTGAAAAGAACGAAATAATTTGTCCTCTTTGTTTTTGCATAGGGCTTGCAAGGAAGGAAGATTTCCCATACATAACGTACTATTGCCCCCACTGCAATGCCCTGAATGGGTCAAAACATCCAAATGGTATTTCTGGTTCCGACTTGCCTGGTATGAGCTCCTTGATAACAGGAGGCAATATTGACCCCATCAACAACATTGGTAGAGTTACAATGACTGACACTGACATGACACCTGTAAGTAGTAGCCCAGTGGCTCTATCTGCTGTGGAAACCATTGAAGGAAGCGAAGCGGTTTTGTCTGGGGTTCCAGATCCAGTTAGTTAAAGGCAGACTTCGTGACGCCTGTGCATAGAGCTTCATGTTTTAGGTAACTCAAGAGCGTGTTTTGAGTGCTGGCTGGGACTGTAAATGAGTTTGTGTTTGGTTGTGTAATGTTAGGTTTCTTAATTGCAATCCTAGTTTGCTAGGGTGTCTATGCCATTTTAAGTAATAGCTTCTTGGCAAAGTGCTTACGTTGCTTTTTATGTTGTGATTCTGAAAGTACATCTATATACAAGTAGGCCTTCATTGCCACTTGAGATCAAATATCAAAAGAAATGGAAAAAAGTTACTTTTGTTGGTAATGTTTTCGTGAAATCACGGTCTTTTTTATTGTTGTTAGGCGGTTAGTTCTTTTAAACTTTTATTTTACCTCCTATTTCTTCTTCTTGGTATTCTTTTATTTTCCTTTTCGTTATTTTCTTCCTAGCTTTTGAATGAGAAGTAAACTTTGTTTAGTTTTGTTTTGTTATAGATAGGCTGTATTTGTTTGGAGGGATTAGAGGGGTGTATTGAATTAAGGGAAGCATGTGAGGCCTATGGTTTAGAATTTGTCTCCAAGGGACTACCAATCCTAAGTTTTATTTGGTCGGATTAGCCATCAGAACCAGATTATTAATCGCCCATATAGGGAATATTCAAGGGATTAGGACTCCCCTCTTGGATTATCTTCTTCCTTGAATTTTCTCTCATTCGTTATCTTACTTTTTAACCAAATAATTCGTGATATATAAATAACTTCAAATAATTTTATGATACTAAAAAAGTACTTATTTACTATCCTTTAATCCTATTTACAAAACAAACTTGTGTAGACGATTTTTTTTCTTAATTGAGTTCTTTTTATCAATATGTGGTATTATTCACTGTCATAATATTGATGATCCAATAACTTTCACACATGAATTATCTATTTTTGGATTTTGGTTTAATTTGTAGTGATTTGGATCAAGTCATTTTTGTTTTGGATATGGTTTAGAAGGTTTTTTTTTTTTTTTTTGAAAAAAAGTGCAGAAAGGTAAAGAGATAATGGAATTTAATTAAGCCAATAAGTCAATAAATTAACTTTTTTAGATATTGTCAAAAGAGACCAAGCAAGTGTTGTGTTCTTTCCTTAAACTAGATTTGAGTACTTGGGACATTGTTTTGTTGGATTTGTTTCATCATAATAGTCACAACCTTTCAAGATTATCTTCAACCAAACCTTCAAATATAAAATTGCTAATTTTTTTTTGAAAGCCTAAGTGGCATGTTGACATCTTTAAAAATAAATATTCCACCCAATATGTTAAATTTTATTATTTCGTTATATTTTTACTTTAAATCTTCTTTTTTTCTTCTTAACTTCAATTTGTTTATTCAAATTTTTAGACAAAACCTATTTAATATGGATCCTACATAACAAACACAGCAAATAAAACAATTCTTATGTGTTATTTCATATGCCAAATGCCACTGAGGAAATGGCATTTTGATTAAAATTTATAGATTTATAAATATTATTCTGAGTTGTCACTTAAGATTTGACATCTTAATTGAAGATATTTTTAATTCGTGATAATCTATACTTTCATAGTTAACTTACAATCAATTGGTATTGAACTCACTTAAGATTTGACATCTTAATTGAAGATATTTTTAATTCGTGATAATCTATACTTTCATAGTTAACTTACAATCAATTGGTATTGAAGAGAATTTCGACGTCTGTACTTAGATTATATTTGTTTGGGTGGACATAAGTTTGAGATTGGACTAATAGTCTAATAAAATTATTAATCCGATGTTTGGTTAAACAATTGAAGTACGGACTAACAATCCATCTGGATATGGTATCCTACTTATGATGGACTATTCAATCCCACAGAAGGGGGGTGGGATATAAATTGAAAGACTAAACCAAAGTCTAGACTATTAGTGCTCGTTATAATCCTAACTCAATCCAAACATAAGATAGGATACATAATCTAAAGGATTCGTAATCTTATGACTATTAGTCATGGGAATGCTAATCCAATCTAATCCAGTCCGCCCAAACAAACATGGCCTTAGATTTGTGTTTGTGACGATCAGTCCACTATCAGCAGTTAATTCACAAAACTGACAAGTGTAAATTATTTGGCTCCATAACCTAAAAACCTCCCTCCACTCCAAAATGAAAACACCCTTGGTGACTCGAATAAATTTTCATTAGTTCTTATTCCACTCCCACCCACACCTATTAACTCCCACAACTGACAACCACATGTGGTCGGTCATTAGCTACTGAGCTCCATTGACAATAACAACCTTTGACCACTACCTCCCGTTGGGAACAAAACCACCTATGGCCACTACATCATATCAGGAATCTACCTCTAGCAGTTGGCCACCACCTTTGGTGCCCGGCAACAGCCTTCGCCCATTGGCAACCATCTCTAGCTGTTAGCCACCACCTCTCACTATCAACCATCTCTGACCATCTCCTCTCACTTATTTTCAAACACATGTGGGTACTATGCCATGTTTGGTAACATTTATAGTTATAATTATTATTTTTTGTATTTATAACAATGTTAGAAACCTGTAAATAAAAATCATTTGGTATTTGAATTTGCTTACAAAAACTTGTAAACAATTTACAGATTTAATGAAATTCTGGAAGGAAAAGGAAGAAGTTGGTGTTATAATTTGTTTTGTTTTTATTCGTTCTTTTTGTCTTCTCCAAACTCCTTTGACAACCACCTCCGTTTACCACCTCTTACTGTTGTTGGCAATCACCTCTGGTATAGCCAATCACTTCTCATCGATGTGAATCACCTTTGACTACCACCTTCGGTCATCATTCCTGGCAGTTGGCAACTACCTTCAACCACAATCACCAATTGTCAGCAATCACTTTTAGCTATCACCTCTTACTGGAAACTACTTTTGGCAGCTAACTACTGGGCATTTCCCTAAATAAGCTAAAATAGTAAATCAATTCCCAAACTAAACCTAGTTTTCAAAGAATTCCCAAAATAAGCTAACTCGCGGTTCATAATCGCGATTTCAACATATTTCCGCCTGTCCCGCGTGAAAGTTGGAAATCTTAAATTCATGGTTACAAAAAGCGCTTTCGATTAATAAATCGTGGTTACAAAACGCGATTTTAATTAACTTTTCTTTCCTTTGAACTCGCTGTTACAAACCACGAGTTCATCGAAAAAAATTTATGTTCTGAATTCGCTGTTCGCAACCCGCTTTTGTGAAAAAAAAAATTTGTTCTAAACTGGCTATTTGTAACCACGATTTTATCAATAACTGTTTTCTTTTGAACTCGCTTTTCCAAACCACGATTTTAGCAAAAAATTTTTGTTCTAAACTCGCTTGTTCTAACCACGAGTTTTGGCCAAATTTTTTTCCATTAAGTGAACTCGTGGTTCACAACCACGATTTTAAAACTTGTATATAATCTCCCCCAACCCCGTGTTTTGCATTCACGCTTACTCCTCTCTCTGTCGAACTCCCTCTGCTGTCTCTCTCTCGCTCTTACTCCTCTCTCTGTCACTGTGCTCCCTGCTATCTCTCTGTCGAGCTCCCTCTGCTTCAATACCGTCTCTCTCTCGTTGGTATGGCTTCTATCATCTACTTTACATATTTGTGAATATATTTGTGTTTATGAAAATGTGAATAAATTAGGGTTAGGGTTCATGAATGTGGGGTTAGGGTTAGGGTTAGGGTTAGGGTTAGGGTTAGGGTTTATATTTGTGAATAAAATGTGAATAAATTAGGGTTAGGGTTCATGAATGTGGGGTTAGGATTAGGGTTTATGTTTGTGAATAAAATGTGAATAAATTAGGGCGAGGGTTCATGAATGTGGGGTTTGGGTTAGGGTTTATATTTGTGAATAAAATGTTGTGAAATCAGAAATAATAAATTAGAGTTAGGGTTTATATTTGTGAAATTTTAACTATAGATAATTTGTTGAATGTGAATGTTGAATGTGTTGAATTTTAATTATAGAGAATTTGTTGAATTTGTTGAATGTGTTTAATTATAGATAATTTGTTGAATTTTAATTATAAATAATCTGTTTAATGTGAAATCTTTTGCTATAGATAATTTGTTGAATTTGTTGAATGTGTTTAATTATAGATAATTTATTGAATTTTAATGCTGTTAATTAATTACATAAGAAAGAGAAACGTTAATTTGGCTGTAAAAATTATTATTAATTAGGTGACGTGGAGTAGTAATAACTTAAAATTAATAGAGTAACAAAAATATTTTTTGTTCTAAATTTCAATTTTTTAAGTAAGAACAAGAAATTGAAAAGTAAGGAACAAAATTTGTGATAAGAAATTGCTATGGAAGTTTTCTCGTCATTTTGGCCAAGAACAAATATATATATATATATATGGCAAAATAGAAAAGTCAGATAATTGAATTTTATGTCGGTGTAGGCCTTATTTCGTTTTCTTGTTAAATTTTTTTAAAGAGTGATTGTGATTGTTAATATTTTGTATGGGTGACCCTTTAAGTAGTACACTAAAAAAAAATTTAAAGAAAGAAAACTTTAAAATATGCCATTGATGCCACATGCCCCTACGATAAGAAAAAATGGTTTGATTAAATTTATGCACTAAATTCAAATCTAATCGTGGTTAAATATAAAAAGTATAGTTTACTTGAATTTCATGCCCCATTTAGGGTTGAATTTCATTTTCGAGTTTTTCCTCCTTAAATTTCATGACATTCCCTTTTATAAATTTGATATAAATAAATGACTTTTTAGAAGTGATCCACAAAAAAATTGATATAAACATTAGAGGTCGAATAATTTGATCCACAAAAAATTAGAAGTCAAAAAATTACTTTTTACCTCTTTGCCAAAAGAGGCCTTTCAAGTCGTCATGGAAAATGCTATTATAAAAACATTTGATATAAAAAATAAAAAAATTGTTTAGGAATTATGTTTGAAAAAATTAAAATATTTGATTTATAAAATGAGTCATTCTCAATAATTTTTACCCATTTGAATTATCCAATTGACTTATTCTCTATGCGCCTGTATTATGTTTATTCAATTAAATTTTAACTTTTTATGATAGTCGGATGTCTGAATTAGTTTACGTATTTATCGACTAATCTTACAATCCGCACCAAACGTCCCTTCCGCGTAGATCCGACAAATCTCAATTAATACCTATAAACATGACACATACTGAGAGTTCAACTTGAGATCTGAAAGGAGCATACCTAATTTTTAACACATAGTGAGAGCTCTTTAATATTAATGAAACTCAAGTTTGACTCGATTCAGGTCGATAATTTTTTTGTTATG